TGAGTCATGACTGCTGGTTTCGTGCATAAGCGATCACAAACAGGCACATACACATACAGAGATAGACAAACTCACAGTCTCGAGATTGACATATGACAGTAACTAACAAAATCACTTTATATTGTTAAGGGGACCTTCATTTCGTATTAAAGTGAATGAAGAAGAGATTCGTTGGTCGAACTCGCCAGATGAGGACGGATGGAACTCATTGTACCGCAGCCGGTTGGATTTTATACGATATTCATGTTGACGCAGTCCACGAGACTTCCTCCCTCGTTTCGGGTGAAAACGTGCTAAGCTTTCGTCGATCATATGATGGGCATCATCAGAGCTGGGTGTCATTCTTGTAGAAAGCTTTCGTTAACACTAGACCAAGAAGACTATCCAGCTTATCTTACCTCTTATATAGACTCAGTTACGCCAAAAGAAAATTAAAAACCTAGATGGATATAGAGTAGTTTGGCTTATTATCTTTTATACTTGTCCTGCTACTTCTGTTCGAGTGTATGCGTGTGTGTGTTAGCGTCAATACGCAATACCGGTCCTAAATCAGAGTTATCAAAAGGTTAAAGTTAGGCTCTGATCATCAAGGCTTAATGACCTCAAAGAAAGCCCTGACCGAGACTGCGTAAGTCCGTAAGCAAGTATGATTAAAATAATGAGATATGAGCTTGTAAGCATGTAAGTCAAGTTACGAAACCACTTGTCCTAACCTTTCAGTCAAGGGTCATTAACGTTTAACTCTCCAAGGAAAGGCATGATTGAAGCTGCGTAAGTTGGCACGTCTGGTTTGGTTGATGAGCTTAATCTAACATGTTGGACGAGTGTGAGCGAAGTTAGAACCATCACCGAGCAGACAAATTGAGTCGCCTTGTTTTTGACGGCGGCTCAACACTCACTCTCTCTTTCAATCCATCAATCAAGCATAAGTAATTCCTACTCATATTTCTTCCACCGTTCCTCACATTCAATTAATTAATTTCAATAGCCTCTCTTATCTTTCTTTTAAACACAGACGTACCGTAATCAGCAAACTTACTAGTTTGAGACCATTCTATTTCATGTCCCGTTTCTACAATGTGTTCGGCCACTTCTCACCGTTATATCCAGCTACCTTTGCAAGCATTTTTATGTTCTACCAATCTTTGTCGAATAGGTCGGCATGTCCCACCAACATAACATCGACCACATGAGCAAACAATCTTGTAGCAGCTGGATCTAGATAATGGGTCATATTTCTCTCTAAAAGATGTCAGTTTCTCTTCCTATCTACAAATCACTTTATACCCTATCAAAGAGGCCAGATATATAGTATATACACCAATGCTTAGGGAGTTGCCCGTGAGTTTTCTTGACTCGTTAGCTTGAATTTAGTTGTGACGATGAAACTTTGCTCTGATGATGTTCCTCATATGATGGACGAAAGCTTTCACCTTTTCACCGGAATCGAAGTAGATTACCCCGGAAAAGGTGTCACCATGACTATTCCAATAAAGCCAATCGACAGCTGGTCAAGAGGAATAAGCCATCGCCTTCTGCTGGAATCGACCTTGGAATCTCTGCACCAAACAGTTACACTCGAAATGGAAGTAAGCTCAACGATTATGAAACAAAAGATTTCTCGAAACCCACTTTTTCTTCGCATATTCGTAAATTAGCTTGACCGTAAGCTGCATGGGGATTGCATTGGAGCTACGACTATAGATTTGTGTGAATTGCTACTCGGATCTTGATCCCTATCTGTCTCATGAAGGACCTGAGTGATTTACATCAGTCATGCCGAACAACTTGATTTGTTTATATATGAGATGTGTTCACCCCATTTCGTTTAAGATGAGGAAGGACTGGTAATTGAATTTTCCCACAGTGCAATGAGTAGACCTTACGTTTTCGTCGAATTTCAGATAGTCTTGCTTCCCAAAAGCTATTATCATTCAGAGTGAAATACTTACAAAACCTACTTACAAACGAATAAATTGGTTTTCTTATGTCTATAAATAAGCCATATATGCCTGTTTACCTGACCCTCTATGCTGAAATTTGATAGGCAAAATATACTGCGCCTCTGCATATTCACAGATAGGCATTTCTGAATATGCTTAAAGTAAAGCAAATGCTACTAGGCAAAATATACTGCGCCTCTGCATATTCACAGATAGGCATTTCTGAATATGCTTAAAGTAAAGCAAATGCTACTAGGTTAATCTCTTGTATCAGCTATCAAAAATTTCCCCACTTTTGTTATGTTTATTTATTGTATGATCGAGTTAGGGTAGAGGATTTTGCATAGATTGTGATCTTTAGAGGATTTTTAGACGGCTGGCATAAGTGCTCATATAATAATACACCAGCAAATCCTTTAACAAAAACTAAAGGATATTTTTGGTTCGACATTGTTTACGCGACTTGGTAGGGGCGTTAGGGAGACCTTGTGGACTTACCTAGTTCTGTGTCGCAACTGATCAGTGATAAATGAAGGCAATCTCTTTGACTACTTTTCTGCTTAACCTTTGCTACATCACTCCTCGTCCCTATTTGTCGTTCTACCTTCTAATGCTGCATCTCTTTCAACCTCACTTCATATGGCCCATCTACGTATTTACAAAATTCTGTGCTCTCTCTTACTCCAATGTCGTCTAAGAGCCTGTAGTTACAAGTAGTGGATGAAAACGACTACTAAGAAAATACTTACTAGAAACTACAATATAGCTAAGACGAATTAATATAAATCTAAATCTATTAAGTGTTGGCGGGACTTTACAACGTAGTCAGTTGGACAGAGGCTTTTTATAAGTTACCTAGTCCATGATAATTCCCAGCAACGAACCTTTTTCATAAAAGAGAAATAACCGAATCGTACTGTTTGCAGTACTCCTGACCTTCATTCAGCCCTTCCCTTTCTCCTACTCTGCTTGTCAATTGGTCGCTGCTACACATTCAAATCACTGTCTGAAATCTGGCTGGCTGAGATACTTTAATTTTCGTTCCCGATTACGTCTTGACTTGTTTGCTTGAATATGGTTGTAAGGATGATATCCTGCTCTGACGATGTACATCATACGACTGACGAAGCTTTAGTATGCATTTACCTGATTCCAACGAGACCACTTTGGTGATAGTGCCAATAAGTATGCTCAAATTAAGCCACTCGACA